AAAAGGGTATTCGTTAACACGGTGTGGACCGATCTGCCAAAGGGAATAAAAGTGATCGACTGTTCCGACGGCGGCTTCTCATTTCCTCTGATTGAACGGTTACCATAAAAAGGCAGAGACACTTTTGAGTGATTATTCAAGTGAAGGGAGCGGTTTCAAACACCCTGAGACTTTCCAGTGACTTAAGACAGCCACCCTCTAAAGATGGGCCAAGAGCTTCAGTTTTGCTCTTTCACCTAAAGTGATCGTACTCTCATCGCTCTCCTAAAGATGGCAGGAAGTTAATTGAAAACACCATTAGAGGACGTATCAAAGGGACGCAGGAGGAAGTCTCGTTTGAAGAGGACAGATTGAATTTTTTTGTTCTGTTAGGCGTGATGAAAAGGCCCAACTGTCCCTCTCTGATCACATATTGTGGTAGTTAAGTGACCTCAGCTTTAGGGAGGACCAATCATGTAAAATCCACTTTTTTTTAGCCTTTAAATACATTTTATTTTGTACTTGGAGTTCAGAAAAGTAGAATTTAGTCTCTTCTGGTACTGCATAGATATCTTTATATTCTGTTTGAGTTATATTTTGAAAAATAACTACAGTATTTGCTGAGGAACTGCTGAAAAAGATCATGGAGGTCTGGCTAACCAATCTGGGAATCTGCAGTTTTGTCGGCCTCTTTCTCCTCTGTCTCTGACGACTGTTTCCAACATGTAAGGCTGGATGGACAAGTCTTCTCTTGTCAAACTTTTATTCAGTTTAAGTTGTTTCTAGATAATCAGATCTCTGCTATCAAACTACAAAAGCACAGCGTACAGGGTGGAGTGGACAAAGATCTACATCAGACGTCTTCAACGATGAGTTCACCAGGGTCGCAGAGGCACTGGTTACCAATATTTTTAAAGTACTTTTGTTTTTGTTTTTTTAGAAATGATTCTTTAAACACACATTATGAATCCAACATTAATGAATTGTGGTAAAAAATGTGTTTTCAGTCAGAAATTGATTAACTGATAAACTTTTGGAGTCAGCTTGATTCAGATGGCCACCAATCAACCTTATCAAACACAATAAGCACTATAACTCAGTCAGTTTTACAGCTAATGAGCTAAAATCTGTTGTGGTAGTAGATGAGCACCATCCCCAGCAAACACTCTGAGCACAACAGGTTGTGTGACTTTTATCATTTCAAACTTTGACAGACAAGTCATCAGGTGATATTCCTTCAAGGACTGCTGGGTTTAGCTAAAGGCAGGTCTCTGAAGAAAAGGTTCAATTTATACATTTTCAAATTAGTTTCATTTATGCAAAACTGGCTAATTTGCATGTGTTGTCTTCTTTTTTTTATCCTTATTGATATTTGAAGTGCTGTGATTACAATTCAGGGATGTTGATAATTGTGGCCAGGATTGAAGTTTGTCAGCCCAGAGTGAAATCAGCCCCCTGCGGTTTCCTTGCTGCGCTGATCTTTCTCCACACATGGAGACACACAAACAATAAACTCCTCTTGTCTTCAGTATAACAACAACAACAACAAAAATTCTAATTAAAAATGCACATATTGAAAGCACTTTTCTTTATCCCCTCTGTGTAGCTTTTGGGAGCAAGGAGGTGAGTGAGGAGTGGGATTTTTCATTTTATTTCTTATTTTTCATTTCTGTGTGCTTGCAGAGKCATTGCTCCTGTTGATTCTGTATATATATTTATTAGGGGTGCAACAATACATGTACCCGTATCGAACCGTATCGAACAGTGCTGTATCGAACAATACAGATTTTTAAAATTTACTTTCTCAACTTGTCTTCTGAAGATGCTCTGTGTTAAAGGATCAGTGGATCTGTGTTCGACTACTCCACCTAGGCTGCATTTTTGAGTGGAGATCCACTGAGAAACTTGTTGTTTCAGCAATATTTACTTTAAAAACTGTACTTTTGAGGTTAAACAAATGTTCGTAATTAATATAAATAAATTACAAGTTAAAAAGGGGCATGGAAATTTCTCTTTTTTGTATCGAAAAATATCGAACCATGAGACTTAAGTATCGAACTGAACCGAATCGTGCATTTTCTGTTTTCTGTTAAGTTTCACCCCTAATATACAT